TTTTATTTATTTTTTAATTGGTAAAATGAGAATCAACAACAAAATGTTTTACATTTAACATACCCTTTCAACGGAGGCTGTATTTTGATCAATTTTTGTAAATCATAACCTCGACCATATGTTTTATTCGGCTGATCTTTAACTTTATTACAAAAAAGCACCGAAGTAATTCAATTCCTTGTCACATAGGATGAATAGATGTGTATGTTTAAGAATGGTTTTGTGGGATTCACTCAGTTTTTGTCAGCACGTGATAAGCTATACACGGTGGCCAATCTATTTGGTGAAGAAAGACGCGGAAAAATCAACCGGCCTACGGGAAGCTACTGACAAGCTTTCTCACAAAACCACGTTGGCGTAGCCCAGATTCGAAACCCAGACTCGAACCCATGCGGACAGAGATGAGATTTCATTGATCTGTAAAGGCGAACCTTCTTTTGACCACTCGGCAACCCGGAGCCAGGTTCGTTATCTCAGAGTAACATTATGGTAAGAATCGCTGAATGTTGTGAATTACATGTTTGCAAACGACAAAAATATCTTCATTACACTGCGATGATATGTATGTATGTATGTATGTATGTATGTATGTATGTATGTATGTATGTATGTATGTATGTATGTATGTATGTATGTATGTATGTATGTATGTATGTATGTATGTATGTATGTATGTATGTATGTATGTTGTGGCTTTCAGATACGAAGTACGGTCAGGTCCACATGTACATCTTGTTCATATAAGGTTTACAACAAAATGGAATCTCCCTCTATGCATGAAGATACTTGGACAAACGTATGGCCAGCGCGTTTAAGAAGGTAAAGTTGTTGAACGTTTTTAAGCTCAGTCTAGTCCGCTGTAAGGCAATATGCTCATTACGTGCCTATGATTTAAATTGACAAGCGGTAATTTAAAACATCATTACAAAATTGGAGGAAATTAAAACCACGTTAATGCGAAGAATCTCATCAGAAGTATGCGTTATTTTGCTTCTTTGTTAGCGACAACCCGCACATCAGAAAATCGATAACTTAAGGCCAACATATCGTAATTTATTAGCAAGACTGAAAAATGATGGATAAGAAGAATGGATACAATAAAATAAAATAGGGAGAAATGTGCTCAGAGCCTTTTGAAAAAGTAATGTATACAATGGTAGCAGTAGGAAAGGGCAAGATTTATCACTCAATCAACCAGTTGGTCCATGTTGATAAATTATCAGTCAGGGGCGATAATCAAATCATTGCTTGTTGGTCAATGAAATCCATTCTAATCAAATCAGATAACCACTGCCCTTCACTCAGGATAGTGAAGAACAGTTGGGACAGTGGAGATCTGATTTTAATCAGACTTTGTGAAATCAGTCATTATTTCAGTCAGTCAGTCAAGTTAGTTTTATGTATATCTGTCAGTTAAATCAAGCTAACCAAAATCGGTCAGTCAATCACGCTATGGAAACTACAGATGTCATACAGGTCCTTGAGGGGTGCAGTACCGCCAATTTCAGTAATTGGTATCAATTTTTAGAATTTGGTTACACGTAACTTTTTCTTTCTTTTGGATGTCATTATTTATATGATCCGAGAAATGCATGCTGCAAAGAGCAGTCTTAAAGGACGTGAAAAATTTAGAGAACAACCTGATGCAGCCGAACTTGGTTGAATTTCTCCCGCTGTGATGTCACAATAAACTCTGAGCACATTTCTAAAAGATCGTATTGCCCTGTTTTTGTCATGACAGATCCATGTATAGGCTCTCTTATGCTGAAAATTGGCGTCAAACTCTACAACAACGACAACATGATAGATCCGACGCCATCTTTTGTTGACCGGGTTTTATACCTGTCCACCGATGAAAAAGTCGATATCGGTCAATAATTTTCGTCTGGAAATGTTTGGATGACTTTTAAGGTGCAGAGCATTAAACAGTCAGGAATATGGTTAGATTATAATAATATCAAAATTTTAGGACAAATAAAATAGGAATTTTATTTGAGTAAATTCGCCCACATGATCGCCTTGACATTCAATTTAGTCATAGTAACTCGATAGGTCAGATTAAAAAGTAAACAAAACAAAACCCAAAACCAAACACACCAAAACCAAAATAACCCAATACACTCAGTCATTAAGTAAGCAAGAAACTCGCCGAGTAAAGCAAGCAACGAAAAGTTGCACACCGGATACAACGAGGGATGGAAATTGGTATTACACAGATCAATAAACGATAAACGGGTGTCGTAGGGAAAGCTTTTTCTTTTTCAGACTTGTTCTCGACAATCTTTTACGGAAGTAAATAAACATGTTGTTTATGACTTTACATTTTATAATTTGATCTTGCACAGAATTTATTGATAGTTTCCAGACTTTCTCCTCATTGTTAAATGAATTTCCCATATTTTTGAGAGAGACCAACAAAAGCAAAAGCAGAGATCACATATACTTTGGATGTCAGTTTCAATATTTTGGTGCTGAATACAGTTGCATGGAGGGTCATCAGCGCATTTTAGATCATTTTCGTGGGGAGTACAGATGTGTCTAGCGTACATTTAATTTGTATTGTGTGATTGACCTTTGTCCATTACAGAGGGAAGAAGTTTGGGCCGAGATGACGAATATCGTGTATGGTAAACATGTTTGTCTGGTTTTGACAGAAAGGGGAAGGGAGGCAGAGAGAAGAAAATTCAAAAAATGCAGTCAATCGCAGTGTATACTAGTCTCTTCTTTGAATTAATCTGCTGTCATCATCATTTCTTTGGAAGCTGGTGTCGTCTTATTCCAATCATATGGGAAGTTCACTTACCGTAAACGGTATCAAATCAGGATGTAACTAATGAAGCTTCATTACGCCAGAAATATTTTCTATCAACTATGTACAATCTGATGAGTGATACTTGTTACAATTCCAGCATCACCAATAACGATAGCAAGGATATGGGCAAACGAAATGGCAAGTGTAAGAGCGGAGGAACATGGTTTTTAAAATATTCACCTAAAGCTTCCAATTGGTACACAAAACTTGTCCCAGTTCGCTCTTTACAAACTTTGTGAAAAAGAAATCGACATTTAAAGTATATGACTCATGTGTTGTGTAGAATTGTCAACATATCGGATTATATATCGACGTTAATCGAAATATCGATCGGCGGTCATCTTTTGGACATTTTAGAAACAATGACTGACGATTGTTATCAGATAGGAAGCAACGTTTACTTTGGCGTCAATTCTTTATATATTTAATAATCAAAAACAGAAAATAAAATGGTTAACTAAACTGAAGCCTGCGTGAAAATTTCTCAAGGACTTCCAAGACAGCAAGAAAACAAAAGATGAATTTAATGGCATGGATGATGATATATTATCCTTTAACACAGATGTAGATAATTTAAATCAATATTATAAACGCAATACCTTAGGAAGAGATAAAATGAACAAGATATGTGTGTATATAAACACTGGTGACCTCGACATCATATAGTTCTTTTGTAACCATCACATACGAAGCCAACCAAATGAGAATATTCATAATCCGTAGCTAATGTTCTAGAAAACGGATCATATGATGACGGGGTATGTAACAGACATGATGTTAGTATACCTTTTCGTGCATTCTATGGTGAAACATAAAACTGACTTGACATTATTATACCTTTTCATGCATTCAACGTAAATGTTCTCATGCAGGTGGCATATTTTGGCAGATAAATCCTCCTGAAACTGGTATTAGATTACATAAAAAGGTAAAATAGGAAGGGAAGGTACAGATGCCTTCTGTCTAATTGTCTGTTTGTGTATTCTTTGTTTTTGGGGACATGCTTTTAACAAAACAACACTGTTGATCGATTATACTGACATCAGCGATTAATCTTATTTCCGATTAGGTTTACTGCTACCGTTCATCTTGACTGTAATAGTCTTACATATCATAACATTCGTACTAGAACATGCCATGGACCGCTCCGGTGGCCTAGTGGTTAGAGCGTATGCCTCGGATGCGGAGGGTCGTGTGTTCGAACTCCGGCCGAGTCATGCCAAAGACTTTAAAAATGGTACTAACAGCTGCCTCTCTTGGCGCTCAGCATTAAGAGGTTATTGTTAGGACTGGTCGGCCTGGTGTCATGATAATGTGACTGGGTGGGAACATGCCACATGTCTGCGACATGATGCCCCAGAGCTAGACATCACTATAAACTGTCAAACTGCAGACATCGTAGCGATATGACTGAAAAATTGTTAAAGCTACGTTAAAAATCTAAATCACACACATACAAACACACAGACAGACAGAGAACATGTCATGTATTTTTGTTTTCATTTCAGTACTATGAAGTATGCGGGAAAAATAGATTTACGTCACTAGAGGATATAGTAAAAACATCTCTTCAAAGCGAAATTCAAGCAGCGACTTTTAACTTGTTGCATGATAGTGGTAGCATATCGACCTTAGATTGGTTGAATAAAAGATGGGCTTTCCATATAGTAACCTTGGATTGGTTGAATAACAGTTGCAGTGGCCTTGCTGCGACCTCGGACTGGCTGAATATCAGTGGAGGCGTCCATAAATATAATTGCAAGAAAAATACAAAGAACATTCCTACAGAAATCGTAAACATGGAAGGCAATGTATCCCATGCCTCTGATCCAAGTGTATCAAAAACATTCCTAACAAACTGTTCTGACCTACGTGAAAATGGCTACGTTGTTCTTAAAGGACATACATGTAAAATAGTGGCAATACGCAAATTCCACAGCCCAGCAAAATATGGCACACCCAAAGTTCATTTAGTAGGTATAGAAGTTTTTACTGGTGAAACGTTGGAGGACATTTTTCAGGCTGGTCGCCTGATAGAAGTACCAAGCGTGAACATTAAGGAATATCAGCTGCTTAAAATCTTCGAAGATGGTCATTGCACCGTAAAGGAAGGCGCTGGAGAAATTCGCACCGAACTGTCACTTGTAAATGGACGGGAGGGAGAGCAGATAAGAGAAATTTATGAAAAAGGTGGCGAGCTGTTGGTGACGGTATTGTCAACCATGAACAAAGAAATAATTGTGGGATACAAGAATCTCACAACTGAGAAGATGTTAATGGGATGTGGCACAGAAGGTCTACAATAACATGTAACATGTGGTTATTCTAGGGGAAGGGGATTGGTCTCCTCACCCCTATAGTTAAAATAGTACATCTTAGGGGGAAAGCAGTTGTCCCCAAGAAAGAAAGAAAGAAAGAAAGAAAGAAATAAAGAAAGAAAGAAAGAAAGAAAGAAAGAAAGAAAGAAAGAAAATGTATTGTGAAAAAATGTTTCCTCAACTGATCTTTTTAATATAGTTTGCATTGATATGTAATCGAACAATTGATTTACTTATAATTATGCATGAAAGATGTAAAAGTCACCGTATTAAAACGTGTAATTTTGCTTTCAAATATTGAATTTTTATTAGTTTTATTATCACGTTATATCAAGTGCTCGCAAGAAATCCAAATGCAGCCGCATTTATATTGCAAATCTGCAGATGCACTGCATTTTCTGTAAATTTTCTAAACACGAACAATAAGGCGGGAACTCGAGGAATAAGATAACATGTTTATGTAAAGTAAAGGATGATGCGATGTAATATATCGGCAATACATGTGTATGTGAGGTAAAGGTAAAGGATGATGCGATGTAATATATCAGCAATACATCATACGCAGAAATTGCTCGTCTCGTCATGACCTATCATCATTGCGATATATGTCACAAAGGATGAATATAATTTTCATGTATGCATTATCGATTTTCTCTCAACCAAGCTCGCGTGACTGACAGATCTACAACCTGGCATAGATTACTCAGAGTCACGCGAGGCCCTCAGGTTGATCGAGGCAATATATTCAATAATCCCAATTATTTTCTTTATATTTTCAAACGGTCTTTCCTGTTTCGATATACAGGCCACATACTTACTAAACATTTTAACTGTTATTCCTCAATTTCAATGACATTTATTTAATAATCTAGTTATATTGGTATCGGAGCAGAAAAAAGACAGATATGTTCGATTTAACTGTATTTCAGCATAATTTCAGCACATATACGATGCCCATTAAAAGGTAATTTGTTATTTTGTGCAATATGTCATAAAGTTAAGAACATGCCTTAAAAGCCTCCAACCGAAATACAAAATATACCAAATATACTGTTTCTGTAGCACCTTCTTAGTCATCCCGGATGTCCTACGTGGCTATAGCCTTTGCCTATAATGTGGGATGTCGCGGGTTTGAACCCCGGCCGATGATGATAGCAATTATAGTCGTATATGCATGTACGTTTGCTTGACGACTTTTGGAGTCTCTTACTTTCGTAAAAGATCAGAGAATCCACCCGAAGGGTGGGCCTCCAATACCCTCCTACACGGTTGGCCATCGGCCCGAGTCGGCATAAGGGGACTTGATCCCGAGCTGGATCTTTTCGCTTCGAACTTGACCTTAAGACCTTGACTTTCATCACTCCGATACGGCAGAACGTCACCCAACCCAGCAGCAGGCAAAGAGCACCAAGAGAGCCACCAACAAATCCATGCCCGCCCATGGGCGCGACTCAATTGCAATTTATCCACTTATGTTGAATTCTTCGTTATTTATCTCTGTTGATTGCAATTGGTTTAATTATATCCGGTTTCTTCTTTATAGTCAGATAATTTCATAAGTTTTGTGTAGTATTAGGGTGGATTGCAATTTTTCCACTTCTGTTGGAGTCTTCTTTATAGTTCTCAGTTGATTGCAATATTCATTGTATTTCTTTCTTCTTTATAGTCAGCAGTTACTTGTTATTGGTTGTTGGTAATGTTGTTATGGAGATGGTTTGCAATGTTTCCACTTCTGTTGTGTTCTTCTTTATATTTCTCAGTTGATTGCAATTATTTGGTTATAGTTGGTTTCATCTTTATAGTCTGTTATTGATGTGTAGATTTATTGCAATGAACCCTGGCCGAATCATACCAACTACTTATAAAGATTGTACTGGCAGCTGCCTGGAGAGGAGATCAACATTAAGAGATTAGTGTTAGGCCTGGTCTGCCGGGTGTCAGAATATTGTAAGTGGGTTGGACATTAAGATACATGTCTGCAGCATGTTGTCCCAGTGCTGGACATCACTATAAACTGCCACACTGCAGACACCGTAGATATTTGACTAAAATAATTAAAGCTACGATAAATATCGAAACCACACACACACATACAATACCCACAAAACACACACATTGAGTATTAATCACGCAGCGAAAACCTGCTGAAAACGTCCTTAATTTATATTATTCATTCACCCAGAGTTTCTTAAAATGAACAATTTAGGGTGAGCCACATCATGTTAAACCATTCCGATCTCCAACTTACACGCCATCATTATTACAACGTTCAACAAACGAAGGAACTATTTGATGCAGAGAATGTTGATGGGGAGACTAACATTTATTCCAAAATACAGCCTGTTTACAACCCTTTTTTCTTTGAGTATTATTAACCAACGTAGTACTTGTTAATCACCTTAATTTATATTGTATTACCTAACTTATGTTTATGCATACCAATTACATCAATCATTGATCAGAAACCCTCCTATATTTTCACCATATCGTCGTTGAGTTTTCGTACTTTTATCGCTCGTTGTTAATATACGTATTTGATATAAATATCTATTTATCAAACATGGCTCTTATGGAGTTATATAGCCTTACAGTGCTACACGGATGGTGCGCCGTGAAGTTCGCAATCAACCAATCTAGAAATGTAGAAACAATGTAGAAATATATAAATAGAAAGACAAGCCATCCCATAATAATAGTGTAGATGTAATACAACAAGATAAAAGGAAGAGATACGAAAGCTCGGTAAAAGGTGTTTTTTATTATAAAAATTCACAAATTATAAGCCTTTATCCTTAACAGCAGTTTAGTTATAGCGTGTCTTACACGTACAAAACTTCTCATTTCATAGGCAATTAATTATGGTGGTATATTTTGTCCTTAAATTTTGTTCTACTAGAAGAACTTCCTTTCGATTGCATGAAAAGAAAAAAAAAAAGAAATTGTAAACTAAAAACGTAGCCTTTGTCCGTCAACATTTTTTTATCTCATTTTTGTCATTAATTTCTTCCGTAATCAGGTTGGTTGTAGGGGCGCCACATATGACTTTATGACATTCTCTCTCTATTTGCCCTGTTCTCCACTGCTCTTTGGGACTTTGCAAAATCCATGCTTGTCCACTCTTTGATGTAATTATCTTCTCATCTCTTATTCAGTTTGCCTTGTTTTCTGTTCTTCTCACCGTGCAAAGTAGGATTGTCATTGACGAGCCAGATGAGCGTGAGACATGACCATACCATCTTAATTTGCGTATCTTTACAGTGGTGAGCAGAATCTTCCTATGATCCAGCTGTACCATAGATTCTAGTGGACATCTCTTCAGTACCATAGATTCTAGTGGACATCTCCTCAGTACCATGGATTATAGTGGACATCTCATTTGAGACGTGGTCTAAATATAAGATTATAAGGATTTCTCGATAACATGACATCTCAAAAGTATGGATTCTTTCTCTAGTTCGGCTGGCATGGTACATCTCACATGCATACCGGAATATGGACACATAAGTTTGATCTACAACCTAACTATGATGATTCTATGCTGTCTTTCAAGATAGGTTTCAAGTACAATAATTGCAATAAATATGATAACAAGAAAGTAGTAGGAGAAAGTAAGAATCCGAGCTCAACAACCCCCTCCAGACCTCCAAACAAATACAAAATACCTAGGTAACGTAATAGAAAACCTATTGCAATCAATAATTGCGTTAAGAATCCGAGCTCAACAAATACAAAATACCTAGGTAACGTAATAGAAAACCTATTGCAATCAATAATTGCGCTAAGAATCCGAGCTCAACAACCCCTCTAGACCTCCAAACAAATACAATAGAACACCTGTTGCAAAATACCTAGGTAACAGGTAAAATTTAATTACGTGATCTTCCAGAATAAGCAGAATG